AACGATCAATATCCACATCGATCACCGTCGATCAGTAACGATCACTTCTAAATGCAATATGAGAGCTGCTAGTCCAAGTGGATGACATTTGATCGAATGACATTTCGCCAAATTTGGCAAAGTGTGACAACTCAACGATTCGACAACTTTCGACGACGATTCGACGAAATATCACAGACTTGAAATTCTTCCACAAAACATCTGATTTCCGCGTAAATTCTCACCAAATTCTAGTGTATATCACCTTTTCATCATAATAATGTCCACCTGACCAAACCGTAACACAACAAACAAACAAACTGAAATAACTAGAGGATAAAAACCATCAAAGAAGAAACAAAAACCAACCGCTTCATCCACTTGTTTCTTCTGCAGTTTAATCTTGCCCTGTAGCTTATCGATGAGGTCGTTCATGCGCTCGAAAGCCTTGCGGTCTTCGTCCACCTGGAACTGCAGCTCGCGGACACGACGCTCCTGCTTCGAGAGTGTCTTCATTGCGTCCTGATAGCGTCGAGTCTCCGCATCCAGCTCGGTTTCTGCCTTACGCACACGCTCCTCCATCTGCGCCACGGCCTTCTGACCCGACTTCTGCACGGCCATCTCGGCGTCTTGCAGCTTCGCTTGCATTTCTTTCACTTGCAGCTCCAAACCTAACAATTTTATTACTCTTACTACTATTCAAATTCAAATCGCACATTAAAAATAACAACAGCACAAAACCATAATAATAACAGCACAAAATAATAAAAATAACAGCAGCACAAAACCTTTTCTAACACGCTCCAGATGCGTGCCATGCTCCTGCTCCTGTCTCAACTCCTCACCAAGACGTGCTGCATCCGCATTCGCCTTCTTCGAACGTTCCTCAGATGCCTTCAGCTCGTTTAGAGTCTCATCCAGTTCACCCTGAAACTTCCCAATGAAACACATCATATCTGAATGAATATCAATCCATTTCAAATCCAGCAACTTCATCCATAATCCACCAACAGCCTCAGCCCACAAACCCAAACACCCAAATCTATAAACTCCTCACTCTGATCAACTGCATCTCGGCTTCGAGCTTCTTTTTGGCCGCTTTCAAGTTCGCATTCCTCGTCGTCAACTCACTGCTCTGTTGTTTACATTCGGCCAGCTCAGCTTCTTGTTGCTTTTTCAGTCTTTCCGTCTGAAATAAATAAATAAATAAATCGTACAAAGAATCAAAGGAACAAAATCAAACCAAACCTAAACTCTCACTCAAAATATCAATCGCAAATCACCAAACGTATCACCACCACACCTGCATGATATTCGCCTGAATGTCCTCTTTTTCGGATTGTGCCAACGCCAGACGTTTCTCGGCCGATAGGTAGTTCTCACGGAATTCCTCGCGATTGCGTTGCTCTTCGTCGATCTGCATCTGCAGGTCTTTGATCTGCTCCATGTGCCTCTTAATGCTCTTCTGAGCGTCCACGTTCGCCTTATTGGCGTGATCCAACGCTATTTCCAAATCCTGAATTTTGAAATTATCAAATTTACGCCTCGAATCGATCACTCCATCGATTCACTTCAAAATTTTTCTTTTTCGCGCTCTCATATTCCATATTCTAGGAAATAATAATAGTCAGTCATCAATATCAATAAAACAAACTACTCCACGACGAAATAATAACCAAATCAATCAATCAATCAATCACTCACGTTGATCTCCGATTCGAGATTCTTCTTGGCACGTAGCAGCTCGGCTTTTCCTTTCATTTCACTCTCGAGGGTTGCCTTAAAACATACACACACACCTTAACATCTTGCGTTAATCTTGTTCAATCCTTTTAGCCAATTTCATACTCTTCTCTAATTTCCATATTTCAAAACACTTATTTTTCAAAACCAAAACTTCACTACGACCATTTCGCATAATGAAATGTCGTCGTCGTCATCCTAATTAATAATCTCAAAACAAAACAGTTAACATCAAGAGTCACCACTCACTTGCATTGAGTCCAACGCGCGCTGATGATTCTTACGGGTGTTCTCGAACTCCTCGTCCTTCTCCTGGATGCGTTTCTCGATCTCGGAACGGATCTGCGTGACCTCCGCCTGTGATCTGGCCACCTTACTCTCTTCGGCCTCGAGCGCCGCTTCGGCTTCATCCAACGCTCGCTGCAGTTCGTCCTTCTCGATGTCCAGACGTCTCACCACCTTCTGCAGCTCATGCACTGATCTGCCGCCGTCTGTCAACTGCTCTTGCAGCTCTTTGATCTCTTGGGCGAGTGTTTTGTTGTCACGTCGCATCGCGTCCACTTGCTCGCCCAACTGCTCATTCGACGAGCGCACCTTGAAGAGCTCGGTGGACGAGTTTCGGCCGTCCCGTTGCACTGCGTCCAGCTCCTGATTCACGTCGTCGAGTTTATGCTTCCACTCGTCGATGATGCGATCGAATTGCTTCTGTCGTTTCTCCATTTGCGTGATTTGCGTCTGGTGACGTTCCGCCTCGGCGTGCGCCTCCTCCGTGTCGACGGCCAGCCGTGATTTCTGCTTTTCCAGTGCGGCTAGTTTCGATTGAGCCGCATCGAGCGATTGCTGAAGTTCCTGAAGACGT